AGAGAGAGAGTGTGTGTGTGTGTGTGAGTGAGAGAGAAAGAGAGAGAGAGAGTGTGTGTGTGAGAGAGAGAGAGAAAGAGAGAAGAGTGTGTGTGTGTGTGTGTGTGTGTGTGTCCTAATGAACTCTGGAGAAGAACTGATTAGGAATAGGAATGTGTATGTGAATAATCTATTAATAATAATGGAGTAAGAAAGATCTGACTTGTTTAATAAGATCCTTCCAGAAAACATTTTAGACTTTATCATATGTAAATTTAAAACATCTTGTACTTTTAATCGCTTACTTTTATCTTTTATTTTGTTCAGTTTTATTTTATTCTATTGATCTAAATCCTGTGTAGCTGGTAAATGTACAATAGCTCTTGCCATTAAAATATCCTGAGCTGCATTAACTTCTGCTGGTTATATTGTATGGAAAGCAGTGCTGTGTTCGATACATCAATGCGACGATGTATTGTCACAGAGATTTGACGATACGAGTATCGATACAGCTGGCCCTGTATCGATGTTGTGGCATGTGTGCAGCAGTGGACCGCACTTAATTTGAATACAAGAACAACGTTTAAAATTGAGCAGAAAAGTACGAGGTTTCTAAAAAACAAGAATGAATGGAGCATAATATATAGGCTATAACAAGGTTTAATCTGGCCGCAGAGGAACACAACTGGGTTGCCTGATATAAAGAGACGTAATCCCCGAAACAGAGCTTCATACTTGCGCAATACGGAAATATCTGCTAAGTGTGCTACTTATCTTTGTCAACCTGGCAACCCTGTGCACGCGCTCTCTCTCCACTGTGGATAAACGCGCTTGCTTTCTGAAAACAGCGGTTAGCAATTACCACCGTTTTACCGCGTTTCTCTATTAACAGTGAAGCTGTGGCACAATAACAATAACAATAACCTACCAGCAATGTAAATATGATTTTTAAAAATATATTAGAATGAGTACAGTATTTATGGGCTTTAAAACAAGATGCAAAAAATCTGAATATTGAACCTGGTGAGGAGTGCCCAATGTAAACATGAAACATATGCCATTACCTATATTGTACTGTGGTACAGTTATGGAGACTCTTCATAATGCAGAGGTCAGCTGCCTGCTCTGCCAATAGTTAGCAACGGCCCTATAGTATGCCGTGTTTGATAAACAGCTGTTTTACTAAATTCTTCTGAGGTGAAATTCAGTGCAGTCCCGTATTGTGATGCGTATCGTGGCCTCTGTATCGTATCATGACTTTGCTGGTGATACACAGCCCTAATGGAAAGCAGCGGCTTTTACAAATCATGAGTGACATGAGTAAATAATGACACTATTTTCAGTGTTGTGTTGGTTTGGTTTCTCCATCATGTGTGTTGTTTAGTTCTCGTACGGCTCTCAGATGCTCCTCTAAATCCACTTGAAGAAGCTGAAGCCTGTTGAACACTTCAGTATGTGCCACTCAAACCTGCAGATTCAGTGAAAGAACTGCACTTGAGTCATTTCATGGGTCGTTTCAGTGCGTTCGTGTGATCTGATGATCAGAAACATGAGCGTTTTCTGTGAAAGTGTAGATCGGTCTGGAACAGGAGACTCTCTGAGCTCCGTACAGATGTGACGCTGCTCTCTCGTTCGGCCAATCAGCGCTCTGTCCCGTCGGGTGGAGGACGGTCGGCTCTGTGGTTTCTGCCCACATCTGGTTCCGATTGTGGCCTGCACTCCAGCTGCGGTCGCTCTGTTTAGAATAGACCCAGAATCTGAAAGCCACATCGCACTGCGGTCTCCGGTCAAACCAGCGCAGACTCGCGACTGAGGCCCAAACACCCAAGATGGAAACTTGACTTCAGCGCTGCAGTGACCCAGAGCTACAGCAAACACCGTCATGTGACTGACCGCACAGGTTCACATCCTGGAGTCCGGACCGGGGTTTGAGTGTGTGTGCGTGAGAGAGCGTGTGCGTGTGAGAGCGTGTGCGTGTGAGAGCGAGTGTGTGAGCGTGTGCGAGAGAGCGTGTGAGAGAGAGAGTGTGCGTGAGAGAGAGTGCGTGAGAGAGCGTGTGCGTGAGAGAGCGTGTGCGTGTGAGAGCGAGTGTGTGAGCGTGTGCGAGAGAGCGTGTGAGAGAGAGAGTGTGCGTGAGAGAGAGTGCGTGAGAGAGCGTGTGCGTGAGAGAGCGTGTGCGTGTGAGAGCGAGTGTGTGAGCGTGTGCGAGAGAGCGTGTGAGAGAGAGAGTGTGCGTGAGAGAGAGTGCGTGAGAGAGCGTGTGCGTGAGAGAGCGTGTGCGTGTGAGAGCGAGTGTGTGAGCGTGTGCGAGAGAGCGTGTGAGAGAGAGAGTGTGCGTGAGAGAGAGTGCGTGAGAGAGCGTGTGCGTGAGAGAGCGTGTGCGTGTGAGAGCGAGTGTGTGAGCGTGTGCGAGAGAGAGTGTGCGTGAGAGAGAGTGCGTGAGAGAGCGTGTGCGTGAGAGAGCGTGTGCGTGAGAGAGAGTGTGTGTGTGTGTGTGTGTGAGAGCGTGTGCGTGTGAGAGCGAGTGTGTGAGCGTGTGCGAGAGAGAGAGTGCGCGCTTGAGAGAGTGTGTGAGAGAGTGTGTGAGAGAGTGTGTGAGAGAGTGTGTGAGAGAGTGTGTGAGAGAGTGTGTGAGAGAGTGTGTGAGAGAGTGTGTGAGAGAGTGTGTGAGAGAGTGTGTGAGAGAGTGTGTGAGAGAGTGTGTGAGAGAGTGTGTGAGAGAGTGTGTGAGAGAGTGTGTGAGAGAGTGTGTGAGAGAGTGTGTGAGAGAGTGTGTGAGAGAGTGTGTGAGTGAGTGTGTGTGTGCGTGAGTGTGTGCGAGAGAGAGTGTGCGCGCTTGAGAGTGTGTGAGAGAGTGTGTGAGAAAGTGTGTGTGCGCGTGAGTGTGTGCGAGAGAGAGTGTGCGCGCTTGAGAGAGTGTGTGAGAGAGTGTGAGAAAGTGTGTGCGCGTGAGAGTGCGAGAGTGAGCGCGAGAGAGAGTGTGCGAGCGAGTGCAAGAGTGTGTGCGAGAGAGAGTGAGTGTGTGTGCGTGAGAGAGTGTGTGTGTGTGTGTGTGAGAGTTGGGAGCGGCAGGAAGTGAGTGTAGTATTCCTGAGGTCTGGAGTGCAGACCAGCGCTGTGGATGTAAACACTCTTGCGTCTCACTGCTGGATGTTGTTCTAGCACTTCAGCGCCTCTTCATGTTCAGTCTCAGGTGCTCAGCGTGTTTCCCGTCTTCAGATGTTCATGTGCTGCTGTGTGTCTGACTGCTGCTGCTCAGTCATGCTGGATGGTAGTTTGGCACATTTACACACGTGTGTGTGAGTGTGTGAGTGTGTGTGTGCTCATACAGAATGTGTGTTTAGAGAATGTAAAAGTGCCTGTAGTTTGGTGTGAGGGTTAGGTTTAGGTGTAGGGCTTGGGTTTATGTGCGCATATGTGAATGATTGTTTGCGGTCAGCTGACACAGACACACACTCTCACTCTCAAGTTGTGCTGTAGTTAAAGAAGAGTTAGCTGGTTAAAGGTGAGCTGTATTCATTCATCTGCTGAATTAAAGCCACTCTGATTAAAATTCAGAGTGACTGGCTGTAACCACGGTCACCGTTTCCATAGATACAGGGTTGAGTACGAGCTTCACAGCATTTCCTATTTATTCAAAATGATGTTCTTGATGATGTTGTCTTCTGTCTGAAAAGATGTTATAAATGACCCTTTTCTAAGCTCCACCCCTCTCGGTTACTGTTGCCAACACAAAGCTTTACTGAACGTCCCACAGGAGAGAGAACTGTGCTTTATACATATATTTATGATAGATTCTGTTGTGTCGCTTCTGGTGTGGACGCACAAACCGCTTGTCGCTGGAATCTTGTGGTGTTGCGTGTATAGGACACGGTGCTAGGATTGCTCAGGTGTGTTTCTTGTGTTCTGCAGGTGATGCAGATGGACGGATCGGGCCGGCGGGTGTTGGTGGATGATAACCTGCCGCACATCTTCGGTTTCACGCTGCTGGGCGACTACATCTACTGGACGGACTGGCAGCGGCGCAGCATCGAGCGCGTGCACAAACACAGCCTGGAGCGCGAGGTGATCGTCGACCAGCTGCCCGACCTCATGGGAATCAAGGCCACATACGTCCACCAGACCTTCGGTGAGCAGCTGTGATGTCATTTCCTCCCTCGAGTCACTCAAACCTGCACCAGCTGCTTTCTTCTGTAAAGAACTCATCCGTTTCGGTTCCCATTGACTTCCATTGTATTTTTGTCCATATAATGGAAGTCAATGGGAGCCAAAACTGTTTGGTCATCAGCATGCTTCAAAATATCTTTATGCTCCACAGAATAAGGGTTTGAATGACAAATGATGACAGAATATATTTGGCACACAAAATGAGATGACAGACAGAAAACTCTCTTATTCACCGTTTGAATCTAATGTGTCCAAACTTTTGACCAGTACTGTACTTCTGTATGATAACAGAAAACTGGCTAGCAGAAGCTAGAAGAAAGAGCATCACAGCTTGAGCTAGCTAGCACATGATACCTAGCCTCATGTGCCCTTCACTAAGCAGTGTGCATGTGATTGAGCAGTGTAGGGTAGAAATTCAACTGAAAGTGCATTAAATCTGGCTGTTTTAACCAAGATTATGCAGCAAGATTTTTTTTCTCAACTACATTGAAGTTCCCAGTTCCTGCAATTTTGCAAAATACCAGTTTATTCCCATTAATTCCCGTAATTCCCATATATTCCCGTTAATTCCCATGGAAAGTTTTCAGTCTTGAAAATTCCCAGAATTTTGCGACCCTAGTCTCAATCGGGCTCAAATTGATGAGCAATATTGACGATGCCATTGCCGCTGAGTTGAGGGCTGGGACGTTTCTGGACTGCTCTGGCGATTTAGCGGATCACAACACTGGGCCAGCTAACCAATCAGAGCCCATTGCGTATTTCTGAGGGAGGGGCTTCATAAAACCAGGAAATCATTAGAGCGTTCATAAGAGAAGGGACAGAGCGGTGTAGAATAAAGGTAAATTATGTGAAAAATAATGCTTTTTTTTTTTTTTTTAAATGAAGCATTATCACATGTTAGACTGCACCCCATTAACATGATCAAGCCTAGACAAAAACCAGCCAACCGCCCCTTTAATGAAATTATATATTTTCCCACTAATAAACAGATTTATCGTTAGCTAGCTCCACACTGGAGAGCTGCTTTATAACAGAAAATAAAGTTGTAATTCTAACTGAAAGCAACACTGACTCTGGTTTTTCATTTTTAATGCTGTAAAGCTGCTTGATTTAAGGCTGTCTACTGCATAAAGTATTATATAAATAAACGTGACGTGACTGGACTTTACCAGAGTACCGAACTGCAGAGCTCGTGCAAACATCACATCGCTGTAATCAGATGCTTTCTTAACTGCTGCTTTTTCACCGCTGCCAGTTTTTCTTGTTTATTTCGTTATTGAGAGGAAAGAGCGCAGCATGTATTTACTTATTCATCCAAACGCCGTTCAGCAGCTTCAGGTTCGGCTGCGTTTGCTCTGAATTACTGTTTTGCTCTACAGCGCCTCACTGGTCAAACCACATTACTGCAGGCTCTTACACTAGCTCACATGAAGTCAAACGACTACTTTCGTTTCAGCCCTATTCGAGAGTGAACGATCCTGTTTAACGCAGTAGTTGATGGCACATGGTCTTGTTGTGTGTGTGCTGAGCTGAATCTCTGTCTGCGCAGGTGTGAACCCGTGTGCGCTCGATAACGGCGGCTGCAGTCACCTGTGTCTCTATAAGCCGCAGGGCGTGTCGTGCGCGTGTCCCATCGGTCTGGAGCTCATGGCCGATCTGACCTCCTGCATCGTCCCCGAGGCCTTCCTGCTGTTCTCCCGCCACACGGACATCAGGCGCATCTCGCTGGAGACCAACAACAACAACGTGGCCATTCCACTCACCGGCGTCAAAGAGGCGTCCGCGCTCGACTTCGACGTCACCGACAACCGCATCTACTGGACAGATATAACGCTGAAGGTGAGACACACACACACACAC